CAAAGATCTGGCAAGATTTTATCTTTTATAAATTCCTGGAAATTGAACTCGCAAATATTTTGAAATTTTCAACTTTACATCTTCACCATAGATTGTTAGTTGACCTTACCTTTTGATGTTTAACTCATTTGGATGCTATCAATTTGCCAATTTTTAAATATTGCTTCCCACATGTTCTTATTAATCTTGTACACCAATGACCTTTTTTTTAATAATATTGCTAGCATCCATTTTTTTGTAACCTGAATTAAATATTGTGGATCTAACTCTTTTCCATTTTTTATTTTTTACTTATAATATTGATAAAGAAGATTCATCATTACTCAATTCCAGTATAGAATGCCTCTTATTTTGTAAAGCTGATTTAGCATCACCAGAATAAAACTAAATGTCTTTTCTTGGACAATGAGAATGCATCTGGTCTTGTAGAAGCTTCTTTAAGAACCTCAAATGAATCTAGATTTGTTTCTTCTTCTATGACTTCAAAAGTTGCTTTTCCAAGCCTATATTACTCCATTCATCTTCACTACATGAATTATTAGCTAAATCACTTTTTTCTTCTTCGTCATCATTGTTTTCTTTGTTTATAATCATCAACATTTACAACAGTATCATTGAACAATAATTCATCATCAATATTTAAAACAGCATCATTGACATCATCATCGATTTCATCAATTTTTGTTTAAAGAATATCAAAAATAATATTTTGATTATGATTTTTACATTTGGATGGAAATGAGAAATTTGAATTTAATTTGGTCATGTGATTTTTACAAACTTCAGATATATTAAAATTAGAATTTTTTTTCACACTCTTTATTTGTTAATAATAATAAAATCTGCACGTGTAATATATATGTGTGTGTGCGTGTGTGTTGCACATATATAATTCTTTCCTAACAACACCATTCATATTTAGATTTTTCAATTTTTGGTTCAAGTTTACATGACATAAATATTATCTGTTTGCTGTTTGTTATAAAATCATTTAAACCACTATTCAAATATTTTATTTACACTAATTTTTATCTCCTGCCAAGAGTTTATTTATAGCTGTTTCATATTCTTTTATTGATTCTTCTGAAATTTTTATACCTTTTTCTTGTATTAATGCTTGTAATTGGTAATAATTGAGTTGCCTTCGTAATTGTTCGTTCT